ATAGTATTGTGACCAGCAGATGGTGTATTGGTTACATTGCTGGATCCCAAAAGTCAACCATGGTTCGAGGCCTGGACCTGGTGACTTAAAACGCTTGCTGGGCAAGTGTGCACACATGCTCAAGATCCCAAGAGGAGAATGGAGGAGAAGAGATTGTGGCGTGGCCATGCCCCTGGGGGATGATTTCATGTTCTCTTTCTCTCTCTGGTGAACACACATGCTCTATAGCAAAAATCTCTCTCTCAAAAAAAAGTTTAAATGATATTTCATTATAAAAGAAACATTAAGGATGTATTTCAAGAATAATTGCTTTATCAAATGAGCATTTCTTAAGGAAAATAGACTTAAATATAAATCTGACCTTTGTGAGAAGTTTATAGGGAGGAAATCTCCTTAAAATGCCTCCTTGTGCAACAAGATTGCTAGGTCTCAATCACAGTGGCTAGAAAATGACTCTGCTAATACTCTTAATATATCAGAATCAAACCAAAACAAAAAGCCCCCCAAAACAAAAACAAACTTTGGCTAACTTTATTTTACAAAATGATCTGAATACTAGTAAAACAACATGTACAGTATCCCCAACTGGACTGTTAAATGTATTCATGTTGGAAAATTCACTTTACAAGCTAAGTGATGTACAGTGATTGAATGTATAAAATAAAATAAAATATATTAAAATTAAAAGAAATTAGAACACATTTTATTCAGCAATACAGCTTTTATTATATTAACTAATTAATTTATTTAGGTTTTTGCCTTAGGGAGTATGTGCTTGCCAACAGAGACATAGAGAGGTAAAGTGAGAAATCACCCCTCAGGGAGGATGGTAACACTGTAATCCCTTCTCCTCCAGTCTCCTCAGGATTTTAGTCATGCACACACCCAAGCTGTTGGGTCCAGGATTCAACCTGTAGTAGACCATGTGGGAATCCAGTGCCTTAACCATTATGCCACTGCTGGCCTCCAGGTTTCATTTGAACTGGTTCCACAGAATGACAAGTCTTCCTTCTATAACTGAGGTCTCCATTTCCCATGAGAAGCCCTGCTTATCACTGCCCAAGGACAGAGTAGTCACACAGACTTCCAGAATCCTGGCCAGAGAGAACCGCTCAATTGTCCTTTCATAGAAATACTTGGGTAACTAAGCTGTTATATATCAATCTTTGGAAAATTTCCAGGATAAGGAGTTGAGCTATATGAAATTTATAGTATTTGATTTATAGTATTAATTAATTGATTAATTAATTTTAGATTTTTGCCATAGGGCATGTTCATCTGCTGGAGAAGAGGGAGAGGGAAAGTGAGAAATCACACCCCACACAAGTGAGGATGGCCATGCTGCAACCCTTTCTCCTCTTGGTATTTTAGGCATGCACACACATGTATCTTATGCAACTTTCAATGTACAAAAAGAGCAATTTAATGCGATTCAACTTAATAAATATTTTTGTGAATAGTTTAAAAAAATTAAGAACACCACATTCATATCAAGGGAGGATCCTGAAAAAGAGAGGCAGTCTTGTAAACTTGTTCCACAGGCAGAAGAGAGGGCTTTCATATCAGGATAGGCCATGCTTAGGCTGGAGGAAGGGACAAGTTTCAGAAGTTTTATAAACTGGGACTTTAGATGGGGATGGTAAATGTGCTTGAATTTGAGGAAAATAGTAATTGTAATCATATTTTTAAAAACAGGCAGAAATGGATAGATGTGGTCTAAATCTCAGAAGCAAGAAAATGATGAATAAGTGATTCACAAAAGGATGTTAAACAAATTAAAATGCACAAAAAATGGAATTGGTCAAGGAATATTTATTCTACCTTAATAGGGACTTATTCCTGCCAGTCTACAGAATATATCAATTTCTATTACTCCATAGCTTCTACCAGAGGGCTCTCAGATGTCAGAAGGCTTTCCCTCTATGGGACTCTGCCCGACACTGTTAATTTCACTGGTATTATGAGACACAAACTGGACAGAGAGCAAACCCAGCTAATGCCGGACAGAAAAGGGGTTTACCACATCTGGGTGTAATACCAATTAACTCCACGTTAGCAACTGTATTATAACCATCCACCATCCCTCATTCTTTACACTGTAAAATCCGTACACCTGGTCCCTGCCCCAGAAGTAAATGACTGAGCTAAATTAAAAAAACCTGGCTTGTACATGTGGTGGCGTGGGAAATCCCAGCCCTAGCAGCAACCACAGACTGTCGGCAGGAAGGCCTGACCCAGAGGACCTTGGCCCCCAGGAGAGGGCTGCTAGAACTAAGCATTCCTGGTTCCATATCAAGTCTCAGAGTTTCTAGGGCACCATCAAAAAGAAAGATGCTAGAGGTTCCCTTCCCAACACAAAACTTTGCTGGAGTGGCTCTTGTCCCAGTTAGAAGTACCTTCCTGCACCACAGGGTTGTCCAAGATAGACCGGGTTGCAGGATAGCTGGGAGTTCTTCACTCATAACCCAAAGACTACTTCTAGGTCTTCCTGGTCCCAAGACTAACCATGACCTGTGGGCCCAGGAAGCATGCTACAGGTCATGTGAGCCAAGGAGGCAACGTTAAGTGTGGCCAGTATCAACTCTCTTTAAGCATCAGGGACTTAACTGAGGAGTCCCAGGCCAGTAGGTTCCAGGGGCCAGTCAGTCTCTGAATCTAAGATCAGTAAGTACTATAGTGGGGCAACAGTGAGGAGGCAAGGGTTCAGCACTGGTTCTCTTGTGGCACAGGTGGTTTGGGGATTATCTCCCCATGTCCAGTATCATTCCTCGTTTGCTCGTCACTCCTGTCCTGGATTATCTATCAGTACCCACAGAGGAATCCTTCCCCAGTTCTTTAAGAAATATCCTGAATGCTAAACACACACACACACACACACACACACACACACACACACAAAGCAAAAAAACCAACAACAAAGAAAACTAATAAGTTAATAAGTGTGTGTATACTGGCACATTACTCCTGACCCCACTGTGAACAGACAGGCAAGATCTAGCTCTATAGCCTGGATCACTGTCCAGCATGCAGAAAACTGATTTTCTGGCAACTTCCGCTACTACATTTTTCCCTATGTTACATAACAAATCTTAAGTAAATGTCATAATTTTGCAGGTTCATTCTCCCACTCCCCAACCCCATAATATTGTACAGATACTTTCTGCCCAGCTTTATGATTTTTTCTGTTCTCAGACCTTAAATTTCAGCACACTTGACAGACCTAGAGAGGAGAAAAGCCTGTTGGACAGGTCTTCTGTCTTTCTCCTACTAGTAGTGCAGTAATCCCAAAATGGAGACTGTAGACAGACAAGTTTGCTGCTCCAAGATTCCCAAGCCCCTACATTAAAAACAAAATCAGGGCCAGCCTGTGGCACAGAGGTTAAGGTGGCTTGATCCCATATGGTTGGCCTTGTGGTTCGAATCTTGTACTGAACAACTTGAAAAACAAACCAGCACATGTGCGCATATGCCCAACATCTCAAAAAAAGGGGAAAAATGAAGGAGAAAGGATTGTGGTGTGACTGTTTTCCACTGGGGATGTTTTATTATCACTCCCTACCCCCATGAGTCCAAATGCCCTCAGGCAAATTAAAAAATGAAAAAAAAATCAAAACAAGAAAAAATTAAAAATCAATCTCTGACTTCTTCAGAACACACAGCACAATTCCGGCCCTGTGCCTAGAATGTCAGAGGGGCACAAACTGGGTCACTACACTGTAGTAAAGCCCTCATGGTGCTAAAAGAGGATGAGATTGAAGCAGGCAAGACAATGTACTGGCCAGGTGGGCTCTCAGGGGCCTGCAGCAGCATCCTGGCCCTGTCAACGTTCCATTGGTGGACGCAGATGATAAGGGTTTTTCAGATGTGTGGTGTCTTGCAAAGGCCTGTCTACTCCAAATTCCCATATACTTGTCCCAGAGGCTCCTTTTTAGAGATCCTGGATCCCTCAATAAGAGACAGCTCTATATGATACAGGGGATAACAAGGTTCCCAGTTCATTATTGCTGTACAGTTTCAGCTCATTTATGCACAGAACAAGATCATTTTTATCTGTTCACTTGTCTGACTTTGTTAGTGAACTCAGGTATTGGTATAACCTTCTGGGGTTTCTTTACCTGCTTCCCCTGAAAACTTTATTCCATTTGCTGAAAATCACAGCAGCAATTAGAATGCCATTAAACATACTTAATAAATTCCACTTAGAAATTCAAAATTGCTTTAAACTCATCATATTGAAAATCTCATGGTATATTTTTCCCTTCACGGTATGTATGTATCTACACACACATATCTGTATATGGAAATAACCTCATTTACACTAAAGGATAATTTATGAGAAAAAGCACTACATAAAATAAATTTTTAGTATGTATCTAGGATGATTTTAGTTACTACAATTAATTTCTATATTGAGTAGGCCCAAATAAAAACATTAAAAGAAAGGTATAGAAAATATTTTGAGGTCATCACATAATACATTTAAGCAGTAAGTTCTCAATTCAGTCCTTAGAATTATATCTAACTGTTGCATATCTTGGAAATGAAGTATAAAAAGCATCTAAGAAGACGCAATGCTACCACTTACTATGATGTAACTGTCACCAACTGAGTTTATGGAAGTGGCTAATTGTCCATGTACAAGGCTCATTTTCTGTGCTGTTGGCAAGCGGGTAGTTTAAGTTAACAATAAGCTTATTGAAAAATTTACTGCCATTCAGATGTGTTCCTATTTAAACCTTTCAGCCAGCGAGAGTCAAGAGTCGATCTGCATGCATCATTTTTATTGCTTTTGCCAAGAATTATGTGACCATGTGCCAAAACTAACACAACTGTTTGGAAATGGGTGGAGATTGCAAACTCTTGTCCTTCCAGCTCAGCCACATGCCATTTCTGCTTAGATGATGTGAAAATACCAAGTCAATAAAATGAACTGCGATGTAAGTTATCATTAATAAGTCAAGTTCCCTGAAGGAAATACTGTGAGACAGTCAGTTACCAACCTTGCTGGAAAATGGGATGGTGAAAAGCTGGAACGGGAAGCTCTTTGATGGCTGTGGGCTCATAGAAATAGGCATTCAGCCAGGCTGCACACTGCATCAGGGGCTCCGTCATCCTCTCTGGAACACCAGGAACCTCAGGAGGAGCTGGGGCCTCCATGGGCCTATAAAAGGAACAAGGGCTTATTAAATACTGGGTTCTGCCTCCACACATCTGAAAAGCAAACAGAAAGTTCCTACTGCATCTAGATGGGTAAACACATGGAGCTGCCTCATGGGTTGCTTGTCTCAATTAGCTGTGTAACAGGTCACATGAGAGCAGAAAGGCGGACTGTGAGAGGCGAGGTCATGGAGATGCCCAGGAAGTTACAGCATCCAGTTTCCACCTTCAGGCTTTATGAACAACAGGCAAGTCCCTACGCATGGGCTCCGAAATGTGAAAGAGCAAGTGACACACAAAGAAGAAACTCAAGTATATCTCCCCGTTCTAAGACTGAGAGACAGCATATGGACAGCTAGAATCATCAAGTATTTATTATCGGAAGTATTTTCCAGAACTATCATCTAAATAATTAGACCACCTCCAGTCTATTGGTCCCATGTTCCAGAGCATTTTATCTATGTGTAAATCATCCTGTTAGTGATTTCAATGGCAGTGCTATAACTGATACCTGGGAAGTCTATACGGGCCTTTCTCAAATCTTCCCATTGGTTCTTCCTAATCACAATTTTCTCTTTGATCTCCTTAAATTTAAACTCACACATTTTAGAGTTGCTTCAGGTTGTTTCATGATTGCTTCTACATGGGTGTTGATTCTAGTGGATCTAGTGGCCCACCACATGAATTTGTTTCTTATCTTCAGCAGGGTTTGTTTTTCTGGGGATGTGCTCCCAGGACTGAGAAAATGTTAACTCTCTGAAAGAGCGTTAACTTCTGTTCTGGACTTTAGAGTAGTCTGATGAATCCGATTTTTATTTTGTTTCTTAGGACCCACATGCATGAAGCACCGGCACTGGGTCTGATCTCTCTGGATGACTTTCTTCCTTCCTTACCTTCTGAGGCTATAGACAGATGGCAAGTTTCTACGTGGCTTACTGGGCCTGGTAGGCAAAGCTTTCATAGTCTCTTTTTCAGAAAGTGTAGCTTCTGAGGCTTTTGTGGGAAGGTGGGAAATGCCATAGCAATGCAGATGCAAGAAGCCCTTGCTGAGCTGCCCTGAGGCCTTTCTTCCTGAGATTTTGATACCTTGTCAGGCATCCCATGCGGGCTGGGGTATGTGCTACAGTCTATAAACTGTTTTCAATATATACTCAATACCCTTGTGAGGGTTCAAGTGAAGAGGACAGGTCTTCATTCATCTGTAAATATAGCCTGTCATAGGAATGAAATATGGTTGAAGTACTTGGAAGCATAGGCCTGGATGTGTCTGTGTGAGGGAGGGACTGTGGGGGTGGTAGGTGAGATAGGCTCCCCAGAAAGGAGCTACCCATGTTGTCCTGAAATGATGACAACATGAACAAAGACGCAATGAAGTGAAAGACCACTAGGAAATAGGAGGCTAGACTTTAATGCAGGAAGATCTCAAGTGGCAGAAAGTTGACCAAGGGCTGTGCATGTCAGGGCAAGAAGGACCACTTCGTCATAGGGCAGCAGAGGTTTCCCAAGCATGAATGATGGTGCAGTGGGGTTCTTATTTTTTTTTCTTTTTTTGGAGGGTTTTTTGCTATAGGATGCATGTGCTCACCAGAAAGACAGAGAGACAGAAAGCAAGAAATCACCCCCCGGGGGGATGGCCATGCCACAATCCCTTCTCCTCCATTCTCCTCTTGGGATCTTGGGCACGCATGCACATGCGCCCGGCGTGAGTTTAAGCCGCCGGGTCTGGGACTTGAATCGCAGTTGACTACACGAGAGTATAGTGACATAGCCATTATGCTAACTGCTGGCCCCTGGCAGTGGGGTTTTGATCAAAGGCCAGAAGGCACTGCAGGTCCCCCTGAGCATGGCTGCGGCTATAGCAGTAACATGGCAAAGGGTGTTGATCGAGACTTCTGGGAAAGAATAATAAGTGATGCATCAATGAAGGCCTCTCCTCACAGCTGGTGTCCAGGAGGATGACAGCCCTGGAGCTGCAGGAGGCCAGAAGTTCAGTTTAAATTAAGTTTAAGGTTGCCTTGGAAGTATGTAGCCACAATTCTTAAAACACTATGTACTAAGAGCATGAATAATTTCTAGAACAATCAGTTCTCCCCTTTTCTGTGAGGTAAAAGTCAAGTTTACACAAATGTAAATAAAGTCAAAAGTATGTAATGAGGGAACCAGCAGTTAGCATAATGGCTATGCCGCTGGACTCCCATGTAGTCGACCGCGGTTCGCGTCCTGGACCCGGTGGCTTAAAAAAACTCGCGCCGGGCGCGTGTGCGTGCGTGCCCAAGATCCTGAGAGGAAAATGGAGGAGAAGGGATTGCGGCGTGGCCATCCCCTCTGGGGGGTGATTTCTCGCTTTCTGTCTCCCTGT